CAGAAGAAGGGCACCCACCAGCAGAGCAGACCCCCAGGTCCCTGCTTTAGGTGTAATCAGACTGGCCCTTGGGCGAGGCAGTGCCCCAACCCCCGACCACCGCCTCAGCCATGTCCTCGGTGTGGAGGGCCCCACTGGAAGTCCGACCGCGGACAGACAGCGCAGTCGGTCCCCATCCCTTCCTCGGGCTGGCGGATCAGCAATCCAGGCCTGGATTGGCCCGGCGGCTGAAGACTGCAGGTGCCCAGGAGGACGCCCCGACGGTCATCTCGAACTCCGAACCTCGTTAACTCTGATGGTAGCAGGTAGGCCGATTTCATTTTTAATTGATATTGGGGCAGCTTACTCTTCCCTCCCTGAATTCAGGGGACCTCCTCGACACTCGGGTTTCTGCTACAGGAATCGACGGTCAAATATTACAACTCAGAACAACCCAGACACTCGCTTGTTCCTTAGGCCCTTGTACCTGTCTCCACTCTCTTTCAGCACGACCAGCCCCGCCCCTTGGCAGGGTGGGACATTCTTCCTACTCCATGCTGCTTCACCTTTACTCCTCTCCCCACAAACCACTCTCACTCTTTACTTTGTCTCCGCCAGGAATCTACTTCCTCTCCTAACATAAACCCCCGGAGCCCTCCACCCCCTCGAGGGGCAGGGCGGGGTCCGCTGGCCTTGTAGGCTTCTGGAGAAATACCACTACTCTTATTGTTTTTTTTCACTGACCCAGTGAAGCTGGAGAGGGGGGGGCGAGCCTCCAGGGGCTCTCGCTTCTGGCTCCAAGGGCTCAGCTGCACCAGCTGGGTGCGACCGCTCCGGGGACAGTGCCAGGTGGGGAGTGTGACTGGGGCAGTCCGTTTGTCAATCAATAACGCAGGTGTTCTGAGGCAATCTCAAGGAGGAAAGAAACCTCCCGTGGGGCAGAAGGACAAATGCTCACTTAATCTGGATTCTCAGTACAAATACAGACCGTGAAAGTAAACACCATGTATAATATCTCTCACTATAACCTTACGAGGGGTGTCTGTAAACTAACTATTCATAATATGCCTAACCCCTGCAGTGGGAATTTATATGTGCAAGCTCAGAGAGACTTGATGCAATACCAAAAAAAATCATCCTAGAAAAATTAGTCACTCTCCAGGGTGCAGCTCTGTGGCTCTAGCCTCTTCTCCCTCTATCATGGTTTGATCACTCGAGCCTTACTGTGAGTCTGTCAAACTCCTCTCTAGGCCCAAATATGACTGGACTGCTTTGCCTATCAGAAAGAATGATGTTTTTGGGTGCACTAAACATTTCTGCCCCCAGGATAGAAGTTGCTATTCAATGCCCAAACCCAGAAAACCAGGGTGGCTGATAGCCAGTAGGATATGTCACCCCAGCCAATACCGTAATCCATTCCTTCACCCCTAATTCAACCTCATCAAGCCCTGAGCCCAAAAGCCATCATAGGACAAAAAACAATCAGACTCCTCATAATAGGAGTCACAGCTGTAATCACCACTGCGGGCCTCATGGGAGGAGTCACTTATAATGCCATATCAGCACAAAACATAACTGCCACCACGGCAAATATAGATAAAAAAAATTTCAAGCTTCTTTCAAAATCCCTCGACTCTCTAACCTGCATAATAATAGATAATCGCATTGCACTGGATTATTTACTAGCTAAAAAATGGGACATATACATGATAGCAAATACATCTTGTTGCTTCCATGTTAACTCAACTGGACAGACTGAAAAGAAGACACAACAAATTCTACATGATGCCCAGTGGCTAAAGAAATGTAGTCAGGACCACCTAGCCCCATCTACCTGGACAAGTATAGAAGCAGCCTTGCTAAACTAACCTGGCTACTCCCCTTCACAGGGCCCCTAATATTAGTCCTCTTATTATTGCTTGTCAGACCCTGCCTCTTGCACCTGATTACTAGGTTTGTACAAAATCGACTGCAAATGTTAGTCAACAAGATGGTTGGACAATTTGTTCTAGCACAGATAAAAGAACCCAATCACCCCATTCCCCACGAAATTATCTAACAAATTCTTTTTAGGAGTCCATGACGACCCTACACCTGCAGGAAGTAGACAAAGAGAAACGTTGCCCCTTTTCTCTTTTTTTTTTATCATTATAAGATGGGAATGAAAGGATTAATAATGTTTTAACAAAATTAAACTCCATTCTGACCAGTTATTCCTCCACGTAAACACCCGAGCAGTTTTCTAAAAAAAGTCCCTGGGACTGAAACCCAGAAGAAACATAACGATAAGGGGTTAATGGCGGCCTTGGAATACTTGGAGGGACCACCAAAAGAAGATTAATGATGGCCCAGACCTCTGCTGGAGCAGACTCCTCCTTGCCTCTGAGCCGGCTTGTATCAGCCCTGGCACCAGAAAGCGGCGCCAAGAGAACGTAGTTCTTTTGTAGTTTCCATAGTTTGTGTCTATTTAAGCCAGAAAACAAAAAAACTGGTGCTGAGCGTTTTTTGGCTCAGTCTGCCTGCACCCAGGCGCATGCAATAAAGCCACTTGGCCTTGTGTTGTGGATGTGATCTCCCGCCGGCTCAGACCTTTTAGTAATAAGGTGCTTTTCAAAGAAAAAAATTTATTTTAGAGAGATTCGAAATATTCTAAGATTGACTATTTGCTTCAAAATAATTAAGTAATGAGGCACGGTGGAGGCAAATATAAGATTATCCAATTGGTCGTAATTGTTGGGGCTAGATGCTGTGCACATGGGGGTTCGTTATATTATTGAATATTTATAATAAAAAAAAACTTTTTGAAAAACAACACTTAAAGCTAGCACACGTCTTCTCCTCCCACCCCAAGGTACGGGCAGTTGCAGGGGAGCTGCGCCCCGAGGCTCCTGGATGACTATCTAACTGCACCCAGACGGATGACACTCTGAACGCTTTTCGGCTCAACCCGCCTGCACCCAGGCGCATGCAATAAAGTCATTTGGCTCTACACTCAATCTGGAAAAAAAATTGAATTCTCCAATGCAAAATTGGCTGCTTTGGGGGGGTGATGACTAAACAATACAAAATACAGATGATATATTATAAAATTGTACACCTAAAACCTATGTAATTTTATTATCCAATGTCACTCCAATAAATTGTATTTAAAAAGAAAGAAAACCTACTTGAAAAATGATAACTGAAAACTTCCGTAGGCTGGTGAAGGAAACAGACATACAAGTCCAGGAGGCACAGAGAGGCCCAAACAAGATGAACCCAAAGAGGTCCACACCAAGACACATCATAATTAAAATACAAAAGGTTAAAGACAGAGAATCTTAAAAGCAATAAGAAGAAAGCATTAGTTATCTACAAGGGAGCTTCCATAAAATCATTCACTGATTTCTCAACAGAAACTTTGTAGGCCAGAAGGGAGTGGCAAGAAATATTCAAAGTGATGAAAAGTAAGAACCTACAACCAAGATTACTCTACCCAGCAAAGCTATCATTTAGAATAAAAGAACATATAAAAAGAGCTTCCCAGACAAGAAAAAACTAAAGGAGTTCTTCACCACCAAACCAGTATTACATGAAATGTTAAAGGGTCTTCTTTAAGAAAAAGAAAAAGTAAGATAAAAATTGGCAATGAATACATATCCATCGACAATTGAATCTAAAAAATAAAATAAACGAACAAGCAGAACAGAAACAGACTCCTAGATACAGAGAAGATTTTAACAGTTGTCAGATCGGAGTAGGGTTGGGAGGATGGATGAAAAAGTTGAGGAGATTAGGGGAACAAAAAGGTTAATTTTTGCCCAAATAGGTAATACTGAACAACTCTTATGAGCAATTATTTGGATTTTGTAAACAGGATTTATAGTTATTAATATCTAAACAACTGGTCTTGACCATACAGCACAGCTTGCCTCTAACTGTATTTTGTATTGTAATCGGATGTCTCTTTCAATTTCTTAGAGGGATCAGGTCTTCCAGTGGTTCAGATTTTTACATTACTTGAAAAATGGAATCATTGCATGTCTTCCCCTGAAATGGAAATTCTATTGCTAACATTTCTCATCTCCTGGTTCCCATATCAAAATATCCTCAGGATAACATGCCTTTCTTTCCCTGACTTCTTTCCTAGTTATGACAGCTAGGAACATGGTTTAGCTGCATTTCAACTTTCATTTTAACAGAAAATAAAAATAAATTGTAGAAAAACACCTCTGTCATTGAATTTGTTGTGAAAACATGTCCAGAGAAAAGATCGACACCAAATTGTATGGCTACCAGTTCTTCATCCCTTCTTTCAGAACTGGGAGACGTAGCCAGATCATGAGGGTATTGTTGGTTCCTGAGTAAATTCACACCTCCCTGTATGCTGTGACTTCCCAGAGGAAGTGTGTTGGCAGGAGCAGCTATCACGCAACACGCCAGGATCCCTTGGAGGGCAAAGTTGGATATTTTGATACAGATTTAAAAAAATAAGTCATTTCACTTTTAATGTCTCGTCAAGAACAAAGAAATGTGCAAAACAGATATTCTGATTCTGTTCCTGGCATCCCATTTCATCTTGGAGCCCGAGATATCTGGCAGTCATGAGTGTAGCCAAAATAGATATATTATATTACTTTTATTTAAAATTAAATTACTTTTATGCTTATAAGCAAACTCCTACCAATGCTCTTGCATCGTTCAGCCTATTATTTTATCATTCTACACAATATTTTGCCTCTCCTGGCTCAGCACTATGTACTAAATAGGAAAATGTTCAGTTAGTACCATGGCAGATCATTCAAAACTCTCCCCTTGGCTTTATATCCATGATTTTATCATCACTGCTGAAATGGGCTAAGTCCATATTTTTGCTTCAGTATCACATAAATATATATGTTTGCCTTAAGAAGCCCAACTGACCTGTCTTACTACTCGCTTACCTGAACAAATTTAGTCATCAGAAAGTATCAGTCTTTCTTTTGGCTCAATTTACTTAGTAGGTGTGACTTGGAAGTTAAATTCATGAAAAACATCCTTACCCGATAGGTGAAGAGTATTTGTGCTATTCAAAGAACTGAAAATATATTCTGTAAAATAGTCTGGGGAAGGTAAGTTTCTCTGTCCCAGACAAACACCTTGAAGAGACAAAGCGATGATGGTTGCTGCCAACTGCGGAAGTGTGTTTTCATCAGCACCATCGTGGCTCAGTATTCCAGACATTCTCTGCAGTGTTTCGGTTTCCATGCACTGAAATCAGATACCAAGTAAGAAGAAAATTTTAACCTCTGAAGTTATTTTAATTAAGATGCCTCTAGGGTTTTCTCCAAAGACAAGGAATAGTTCTTCATCTAAAATAGGGTTAAATTGTTCTTGAAAACATGGCTACCATTGTTCTAGTCTGAGAATACCTCTATTTGGGAAAAAACTTGCCTATCTAACGTTTTTCATTACTCAAATAAAGATGTGTCTTCTCCAAGGAGATTTCTCGTTTTTACTGTTTACATCCTTTCTTACAGTGGATTGTTTCTTTCTAGCTTCAAGTACAGCCTGCAGTAATGACTTTCAAATCTCTATTCCTGACCTTGACTTCACGCTGCTCTGCTGCCCTGTCCCGTCACAGAGCCCCTCCCCTTGCCCTTGCTTTTAGCCTCAAGCTCAGCATGTGCTGATCACAAGTCAAAGGCAACACGATGTCTGTGTTCTTTGAACTACCATAGGACATAGGACCTTTTTCATGTATACAGCAATTTTCCCCATTTAAAATATGAGCACCTTACCTCCCAATAACATTACTGTTCATTTATTTAAAAATTTACTGAGTGTCTACCATGTACAAGACATTGTGCTAAATCCATGACATATACACTGTCTTTTCATTTTCCCAAAACCCTATGCAGTGAATACTCTTTTCCACAGATCACCTGGCCAATAAAGGGCAGAGTTTCCATTTGCCTCTGATCTGACTCCACAATCTGACTCACTCTTCAATGCCCTTCCTCTTGTATATAGAAAGAGAATGAAACCCAGGCTGGTGATGGGACTTCTATATCGTCGAAGCAAGTTCCATAGCACAGGGCTTGGGACAGACAGATAAGGCTTTTAATACAATCTCTGCTATTTCTAAACTTGGGCAAAATGATTATCCTTGCTAAACTTCCTATTCATTCTCTGTAAAAAAGGGACAATGCCACCCAACACAAAGATTATTAAGATTCAACGACATGGTGCATATAAAACACCTAGTACGGTAGAGGGCATACCAGACAGTCTGCTGACCTCAGCCACTATTACTGTTGTCCCGTGTCTAGCAGTACCTCTGATAGTAGGCTGCAGAGGTGGCAAGATCCAGATCAAGAAAGGCCTTATATTTAAGGTCTCTCTGGACTACAGGCCAACGCTCTAACCGCTGCTATGAAAAATTTTCCCCTGAAGACTCCAGGGGAACCACTGAATGATATAAACAAGAGAATAATACAATGAGGCATTTCATAGAAATATTACTCTGGTGGCACAGTAGTGAAGAGTTACACTAGGGTAGAATTTAAGAGCAAAAAGTCTAGTTAAGAAGTTATTGATTAATCCAAGATATATCTTGACCTATGATAGTAGAGCTAGAGATTAAAAAAAAAAAGAAAAAGAAAAGTAGGTGCATTTGAGGAATATCAAGAAGGTAGACTAAAGGACTTGCAGGAAAATAGGAAGGAGTGCAGAGTCAAAAATGACTGATGTTTCTGGGTTTGACAACTCTATAATGGTCATGCTATCCAATATACCCCCAATTGTTCCTAAATACCCCATATAGGTCTGCTACTCTTCTAGGTACTGGAAATACAATGTTGACCAAAACCAAAAGTATTCCCTGCCCTGGAGCTTAAAGTTTAGTATTGCTAATAAAATAAGAATGTAATCAAATATAAGATGGCAACCTCGGCAATAGCTTTGAAGGAAGGCACAGGTGCAACGAGGGTAGAGACAGACCAGCATTGTCCCCCGTCAGGCAGATGAAGGAAGGCTTCTCTGAGGTTGTGACACACAGACAGATCTGAAAGAATGGGAGGCAAAGGGAATATGTGGACAAAGCGTCTGTGGCAGGCGGGAGGATGGCAAACATGAAGAGCCGGAAGGAGGCAGTAGTTGGGGCAGGTCGCGTGAAGGGCGCATGGTGAAACCGAAGGTCTCTTGGCAGGTAATAGAGTTTGCTCCTTCCTCTAAAATCAACAGGAAGCCAAATGGGGTTTTTTAGCAAGGGATGGGGATGGGGGTTATATAACCAGATTTGCATGTTGATAAATCCACTCTGGCTGACCTCGTGGAGAATAAAACTATTGGAAAGAGACTCAAAGTGATCACTACCAGTAGAAGGCTACTGCAGTGGTCCAGGGGAAGATGGCAGTGGTGGTGATGGAGAAAAGTCAACAGGTTAAGGCGCTCTTCAGGAGGTAACAGCAGTAAGACTTGAGGATGGATTAGACACACACAAAAAAGAAATTTTAAAACTCAATTTCTAGTTGAGCAACTGACTGGATGGTGATGCCATTTACTAACATATGAAGTAGGTTCATTTATGACCTTGATTTTGGATATGTGAAGTGCCTTCATAACAACCTTTTTTTTTAATCCTCACCGGAGGATATTTTTCTTTCTTTCTTTTTTTTTTTTTTATCCTCACCCGAGGACATTTTTCCATTTTTTGTTCAGATAGAGTGGAAGGGAGAGAGAGAGAAACATCAATGTGAAAGGGACACATCAAGTGGCTGCCACCCGCACGACCAACCAGGGCAGGGGACAAACTGCAACTGAGGTACAGCCCTTAGCAGGAACTGAACCTGGGTCTCTCTGGACTGCAGGTCGACGCTCTAACCGCTGAGCCAAACCGGCCAGGGGTATTTTTCTATTTATGTTCAGATAGAGTGGGAGGGAGGGAGAGAGGGAGGGAGGGAGAGAGAGAGAGAGAGAGAGAGAGAGAGAGAGAAACACACACCAACTGGTGAGAGGGACACACCAACTGATTGTCTCATGCACGACCCTGACCAGGGCCGGGGATGAACCCCAACTGAGGTACATGCCCTTGACCAGAATCGAACCCATGACTTTTTGGTCCACCAGCCAACATTCTAACCGCTGAGCAAAACTGCCCAGGGCTACAACATCCTTTTTAAAAAAAAAATTGCTGTGGCTGGTTTGGCTCAGAGGTTAGAGGGTCAGCCCATGGACCAAAGAGTCGCTCAAGGGCATGTGCCTCGGTACCCGGCCCTGGCCGGGGTCATTTGGGAGGCAACCAATCAACGTCTCTCTCTCACATTGATGTTTCTCTCTCTCTCTCCCCCTCCCACTCCATCTGAAGATAAATGAACAAATATCCTCAGTTGAGGATTTGGGGACAAGAAAAAAGATGCTGTGTAGGACACATGGGTGTTGAATTCAAAGGAGAGGTCTGGAACGGAGATACACTTTTGTGCGTCATCTCTGTGAATAGATGCCTTAGCCTGGAGAAAGCAAATGGAATGACAGGAGGCTGAGAAGGCCTTACAGGGCACTAATGTTTAAAAGCTGCACAGAGAAATTAGAGCCTGCATTGGTGAAAATGGGGACCAAAGAGAGGGAGAGAGAAAGAAAACCAGGAATGTGCGGTGTTATACAGGCCACAGTAGAGGCTGTTTCAAGAGCTACAAAAGTAACACCAAAGAAAGGACAGTTTCAGAAATACGAATAAGCCTTAGATTTTAATATTGAATTTCATGTGCCAGGGAGATATTCAAATGGAGGTTTCTCCCAGACTGGTGCATCCATGAGTCTATGGCTCAAAAGAAAAACCTGGGCAGCAGCAGACTTGAAAGCAATCCGTGTTTAGCTGTGCCTGAGGCTGTGAGAGCATATCGCTCAGCATGAGTACGTGGAGTGAGCAGAGGAAGAACTGAAGGTGGCGCTGGGGGGGCACCAGTTTCAAGGATGGCAGATGGAGTGCACACTCCAGAGGAACTTGATACAGAATAACTGGACAAGATAGAAGAAAACCAGGAGATACGGGTTGATGGAAACAGAAAAGCAAAACATGAAATATGGGATGAAAGAAATCAATGAATGAAAGTAAGTTTCGTGGATGGTTTCTTTTTTGTTGTACAGAAGCTTTTTGGTCTGATATAGTCTCGTTTGTTTATTGTTTCCTTTGCTTCTCTTGCCCTGGGAGATGTATCGGTGAAAATTCTGCTACCTGAGATGTCTGTGATTTTATTGCCTATGTTTTCTTCAAGGATTTTTATGGTTTCGTGACTCACATTTAAGTCTTTTTTCCATTTTGAGTTTATTCTTTTTTAAATCCTCACCCAAGGATCATTCATCTTCAGATAGAGCGGGAGGGAGGGAAAGAGGAAGAGAGAGAGAGAGAAACATCAATGTGAGATAGGCACATCGATTGGTTGCCTCCCACACAACCCCAACTGGGGCTGAGGATGAATTGTAACCGAGGTACATGCCCTTGGCCAGAATCGAACCCAGGACTCTTTGATCTGTGGACTGACGCTTTAACTGCTGAGCCAAACCGGCCAGGGTTGTTTATTCTTGTGTATAGTGTAAGTTGGTGGTCTACTTTCATGTTTTTTGTTTGTTTGTTTGTTTTTGAATGTACCTGTTGAAAATGGGGGACATCTATAATACTGTCAACCATAAAAATTTTGTTAAATAAAAAATAATAATAATAAATAAAAGAAAGTAAGTTTCATGGAGGCAGGACTGGACAAAAGTGAGAGAGCAAAACGCAGAACATACATTGTTGAGAAACAAAATGTATGGGAATAAAGAATGAGAGAGAATAAGGACAAATAGTTCTCTCACGAAGCTCAGCTATAAGGAGAAGGAGAAGAAAGTAGGTTCATCAAAAGAGGAATCAAGAAAAAATTATCGTGTCTATGTTGCATTCTTGTGACATAGGACAAGGAGTGAAAAGTGCCAACTGGATTTTTTTTTTAAGTTTGCAATGCTGAGCCTGGCGAGAGCACACTCATAGTTGTGGTGGAGAGTGTGCCGAAAGGCTGAGTCAGTAACCAAACGTCTGGTAAATATGAGGAAGTTGCCAGAAGTTCCACGGATGAAAACAACAAGCTGAAATAAAAGATAGGATGATCCTCATAGAGGTGTGCTTTTCCCACGGAGCTTGTAAAGAGTGACACTTTCAAAGTGACATTGAGGAGAAAGAATTTCAACCACTGCTTCCATCCCTGAAGTCCTTAGGGTGTGGTCATGACGCCTGTTCCCCGTAAGGGGCAGGGCTCGTGGAGAACTAACCGGTCAGATCCTTGTTCTTCAACCATGGAGCCGGCAAACCACGGAAAGAACAGAGAGGTGTGAGCACTAAAAGACAGAGTCAGAAAGATAAGAGAGTAGTCAGACAAAGAGGATGAAGAAATGGAGGGATGTTTACCCCTGGGCTACGGGGCGGGGGTGGGGGCGGGGATGGCTGGATTAGAGTACTATACGTTGTAAAGTTGCTTTTCTTTTTTATTTATTTTATTTTCTATGGTACGTGCCCCTAGCGGGAACCGAACCTGGGACTCTGGTCCACAGGCCGACACTCCAACCGCTGAGCCAAACCGGCCAAGGCTAAAGCTGTGTTTCTTGATGAACTGGTTAAAACCCACCTGGAGCAGTTATTAGTGTCTTGACCTATGGAGGCTGAGTTCTGTGCAGAGCAAGACCGGAAACGGTGGTGGGCCTGGTCTGCCAGCACCGTCTGTGACCCCACACGCTGTAGGTGGAGACAGCAGCGCCCTGCAGGGAGGTGTGAGCAGGCCTCCTGTTGGGGTCTGGATTGACTGGCTTCCTAGGGACCCAGCCCAGGTGGGTGGGCCAAAGGGCCTTTCCCCGGAACTGGAGACAGTGGCTTCCTCCAGGAGATAATTGGTCTAGGGCCTAGCAAAAGGTTGTGACTCAACAAGAGCTCATTTCCTCCTGAATGAATAGATGGATAAAGTAGGTCTATTCCTAATATTGAATTATTGTATTCTGTTCTAGGAATGTTTAATCTCACTAACATTTGGAATCCCAGAGATATGCAGTATGCATTGGAAAAACCAGAAATTGTATTAAATACACACACACCATCTCTTTGTAAGTGCTGGGTTTCCATTTCCATTTAATCTGCATCAAAAGGAGTAACAGATAGGATGACTAACATCCTGGTGGCCAATCTGCATCAATCTTGCATTAGATAGATGTTGCAGTGAAGAAATTATATGTAGGAACACCTCCTTATTTAAACAAAAGCAAAACCAAAAACAAACAAACAAACCCAAAACTGAATTATGTGAAGAAACCCTATTTTCTCAATTAGAAATAGAAACAAAAAAATATGCTTAAAATTTAAGATTCATGTTATTTGTTACTAGAGCGATATTCACAAAGTCCTTAGTGAAATGTTTTTCCATGTGTTCTGCCAAGAGAAATTAAACATATTTACAACAAATTGGAGACATTTGCTGACCATTAAGCTGTAGCATGATCGCACTGATACCTTTGGGCTCCTGAAAGACAGCATTGAGGCCAAAAATTAAATTCATTTATACATGTTGTCATAGCCTGAATGTTTGTGTACCCTCAAAATTCATATGTTGAAATCCTGCTCCCCAGTGTGACAGGATTAGGAGGTGGGGCCTTTGGGAGGTAATTAGGTCTTGAGGGTGGAGCCCTCATGAATGGGATTAGTGCCCTTAGGAAAGGGACCCCAGAGAGCCTCCTGCCCCCTATGTGAGAACACAATGTGAACCTGACATCTGCGAACCAGGAAGGGGGCCCCGCCAGACACTGAGTCTGCCCAGCTCCTTGATCTTGGACTTCCCGCCATCCAGTTTACATGCCACCCAGTTTATGACATTTTTGTTATAACAGCTCGAACAGACTAAGACACACGTCAATGAATATTTCAAGAGAGAGAGAAAAAAAAAAACCACACGTTTCCTCACACTCCTCAAAATGTGGTGGTAGCTTCTCAGCTAGTTCTTTCAGAAAATATGCTTTTGAAAAACTTTCTTATGATCAGAGAACTTTATCTGCCGAAACTTCACACTGCAAAGAGGAAAGCGAGAGGGAACTGGAAGGCCGGCCTTTGCGGAGGTAGCAGGGAGTCAGCCAGCGACCAGGGCCCGTTTCCAACAGCAGGGACTGGGAGAGAAGAAAGGCTCCTGAAGGGACCCCTGAACATATGCCGCAGGAATCAAAAGCCACAAAAGACGTACTGCCTGTGCTGACTGTCATGACTCATTCTTCTTACAAGCTGCTTCTTCGGTGAATTAACTAATAAATCCGTCTCTCTCAAACTGGTCTGCCTTCTCCTTCCCTGACCAGACGGCAAGGTGAATAGACGCCGGGACCTGACGGCTGTGGGTCAGCCCTTGGAGACTGATCAGCGGTAAGCCACACTTCCTGTCATGCCCAGTATGGGGGCTCAGCAGAAGAGAGCGGCCCTGTCACCCAGCCTGCCCACCCACCCACCTGCCCACCTACCCAACTTCTGGCTCAAGCTCATCTTACAATAATTAGTCACTACATTTCCCATCTTAGACTCCGATTTTTAAATTATGTCACTTAGCATCCCTATCTTAAAAACACAGCTACTTACCTCTCTTAGAAGTCTTTGAATGTCTTAGGAATAAAAAACTGATGAAAAGTAAGGCCCTGAGACTGCATCTTAGTGGCAGAGTCCGTCAGCAATCGTGCCTTTCTTACCTGGCTTCCAGAAGTGTCAAAGTGCCGCCTGGTGAAAGCCAGGATGTCTTCCGTCTCGTTCTGCGAGAGGAAGTAGGAGTCTTCGTCCTGCCGGAGGCTGAGGAGGCTGTGCAGGTAAAACGTGTACTCCTTACTGCTCATGTTGAGCTTTGAAGAGCAGATCTCCTCCTGGTGAACAATGTAATAGAGGAGGAGAAGAGAAACCCTCTGGACCACTTCCTCTCGGAGCTGATCTTCCAAATCCCCTCCAGCTATTACCAGCAGGGCATCTGGTTCAAAGCACTGGGCAAAAAAAAGCAAAAAACAAACACGAAACAAAATTTAACAAATAGTCCTAGAACACTAATAACCAGTTTCCACTGCTTCTAACTATATCAATAAGAGGGGAGAGTGGGTAGGTCCAATTGGCAGATTCAAATAAGAAGGTCATGGTTGGATTTTTATGTAACAATGATGTCCTCCCAGAAAGTCCTTATTCCCTAAGAGTGGTCCCTCTAGCTCCAACCACAGTGTCACGAGTTGTTCATTTGATACCTTGAATAAAACCAGCTGACTCTTTGGCTTTGAAAGCAATGACCCATTGCATTTAGAACGCAATCCAATCTCCTTATAATTTTCTCCTTGGTCTGGCTCCTGCCTCCCCTACCTTCCCTATCTTCTACTGGCTTCTCTCCACCTCTCTGGCCAAACTTCTGTCCCCGTGTATTTTCTATCAGTTCACCAAGCTCTTTCCCACCATCTTTCAGGTCTTCTCGTCCCCTCACTTCTCTAATCTCAGCTTCAAGTGCCACCCCTCGTGGCTGCCCCTGGCACACGCTGTCCAGAGTTGGAAACCCCCCACCATCCTGCGTTCCCCAGCGCAGCGCTCAGTAGAAACAGAGGCAAGCCACAGCTCTGAGCCACACACATCATTTCAAATCGCGCAGTAGCCACAATTTCAAATACAAAAATGAACTGGTTAAATTAATTTTAATAATATATTTTCTTGAAATGTCTATGTGCAAGATACAATCATTTCAACGTGTGATTAAACTTTTTAAAAACTATTAATGAACTATTTGGCATTCTTTTTGTCACGTTCAGTCACTGAAATCTGGCATGTATTCTAAACCAACCAGCGTATCACGATTCAGAAAAGCCACATGGCCAGTGCCCCAGAGCCACGTGCAGCCAGTGGCGGGCCTGGCACACCCAGCACCGGGCTCTGTGTTCTTCACAGCACGGGAAATCTACAAGTACAGTCTACTTGTCTTTCCCCCTCTCCGCTTGCTGACAGCTGGTCCCCTAAGTCTGGGTGTTGTCTGCTTTGTGCACAGTTCAGCCTCCGCATCTAGCACAATGCCTGGCACCTGCAGGTGTGAAAGCGGAGTGCATGGGGCCTGGCCGGTTTGGCTCAGTGGTTAGAGCTTCGGTCTATGGACCAATGAGTCGCGGGTTCGATTCCAGTCAAGGTACGTACCTCAGTTGCGGTTCGTTCCCAGCCCTGGTGGGGTCGTGCGGTTAGTAACCAGTCGATGTGGCTCTATCACATCGATGTTTCTCTCTGTCTTTCTCCCCTCCCTTCCCCATTCTATCTGATATAAGTAGAAAAATATCCTCGGGTGAGGAATGTTTTAAAAAGGAAAGAAAATGGAGTGCATGGATGCCATCTGCCTGGCGTCCCACCTAAGAGCATCCGAAGGATGCTTCCGTGATGCCTTATCCATTTCATGCCTGTAGACAGACACCTGGCTCATCTCATCTGGCAAAAGAAGGCGTTTGGGGTAACGTGGTGGAACACTGAGGAAACAGACACGGGGGTTGTTGAGGGGAAGCTCTCCCTGCATAACGGGAGTTTTCTTTCCTGAGACAGTTGGGGACTGAGCATCCTCCCGGATCCCAGAAGCAGCTCTTTGCAGGGCACCAGCCTCAGACTGAAGGCATGAAGGGATACAAGGTCTGAGCCCCAGAGGGACTGGTCCCACTGCGCGACAATTTATTATATCTTTTTTTTTAACCGAGGTATAATTGACATATCATATCATATTAGTTTCAGGTGTACAACATAATGATTCAATATTTATATATATTGCAAAATGATCTCCACAATAAGTCTAGTTAACATCCATCGCCATACATAGTTAAAATTTTTTTGTGTGAGTTGAGACTTTTAAGATCTCCCTTAGCTATTTTCAAATAGACAATACCGTAATAATAACAATAGTCACCATGTTGTACATTACCTCCCAAAGACTTATGACTGGAAGTTTGTATCACTGAGCTTCACCCATGTTGCCCAACCCTCACTATAACTGCAGAATTATATTACTATAATATCTATTCATCTATTCCGTGTCTGCTGTGAATCCTACTGGGTAACATCTGATACAAAGTGTCTGAGTCACAAGGAAACACATCATCCATCTCTAAGGCAAAACGTTAATCACATCCTCACAAACCACACGGACTCCAATCTCTCCTCAACTCAACTGTAAGGGACGAGAACTCAGCTAACAGAGGGATAGGTTTCCCAATAAGACCAACTCTTAAGATGAATATTAAGCTTCACCCCTGAAACCACAGCAGCCTTTCTGTTCCCTAAGTAGCCCATGAGAAAGGTCCATGGGTTGGTTGCTGCTGGCAAGGACCACATCCAGACCTAAGGAGGTGGATCAGTTGAAACAGGTACAATATAGTCAATCTTGTACCAAATAACCTCCTAAAACCAAACTATTGGTAACGTTAGCTACCAGTTATCAGAAGCCATGTGTCCAAAACAGTACTAAGCACTTATGTATTTAGGTATTTCTCAGTGTATAAATCTAATTGGTTCTGGAAAAGGTATCAGATAACAATTTTTTGGATGGTAGGTAACTTATTGCATTCTTTTACATGAAAAAATATGTCCATAGCCTATGTAAAAATCCACCAAATATTTATGCATAATATAAAGCATTTGGAATACCAATTCCCCAATTATTTAATGCATAATGAATGAATAGGTACATTTATATGGAGCATGCAAGAATACTGTACAGAATCAAGTATAAATCATGTTTCCCTGGAGGGTGGTATAAAGACAGTATGTGTAAAAACTAAGTTTAAGAGAGGGTTAGTAACATACCTGAAGCCACACAGCTAATAGCACTTGCCCAGCCTTGATTCCTGCTCTGCCAATGATAGATTTTATTCTCTCATTTCAGTGTTTATGCCATGGAGAAGATAAACTGTGGATCCGCCTACATACATGCTATGCAGCCCTTTACCCAATAATTTTCTCTCCCTCCTGTTTAGTAGGAAGAAATTTGATCAATGAACAGGCTAGGGGATTGGTAAGGTTCTAATGTCTAGCGGTGAAAATATTCTACAACCAGAGGGCTGAGCAAAGTCATGTTTGTAGACTTTCAAGTGCTGTCCAGGTTGTTTGAAGGGGCCAGGCAGGTAGGAAGAAGAGTGTCAAGAACATGAGGAATAGGACTTTCATGAGGCCAGTGGACCATCACATGTGGCCAGGGCTTGGCTGATGGCACACAGCAGTGTGGGTGTCCACCCTTCACCCCTTCTGAGGTGTCTGAGACCCCCGCCCATTTGTGGCTCCTCCTCAATGCTCTTGCTCTACCTCTTTCTAGGGCTGGAATAGGGTAAGATCTGTAACCCTGCAGGTGTTCACACCAGACATGGTTTGTAGAAAACATACAACTTGGAAAGTAAATTGGTTTCTGACTTCGAAAAGTTCTGAGCAGTTGTGGAAGCAGCTCATTGTGCCTCAAGATTTGGGTCATCTTGAATAAACAGACGCCACCTACCCCTTGCTTTAATTTTTTGGAGCCCACTGAAAGGATGCTTGACTGTGAATCAAATGACTATGGGCTCAAAACTTGGAGCTGGCCCTGGCCGGTTTGGCTCAGCGGTTAGAGCGTCGGCCTGCGGTCCAGAGAGACCCGGGTTCGGTTCCCACTAAGGGCACGTACTTCGGTTGCAGTTTGTCCCCGGCCCTGGTTGGTCGTGTGGGTGGCAGCCACTCGATGTGTCCCTTCACGTCGATGTTTCTCTCTCTCTCTCTCTTCCTCTCTCTCCCTCCCACTCTATCTGTACAAAAAATGGAAAAATATCCTCGGGTGAGGATAAAAACAACAACAAAAAAAAAAAAAACAAAAAAAAAACTTGGAGCTGTTTTACAATGGTTGAATCCTAGTCAAGTTTCCTTCAATCAGAAGGTAGTGTGGCTCAAGGAAAGGAGCCTGTAGGGAGCATCCGAAGAGCTGATATAAGAAAATGTGAATGTCCTTCTAAGCATAGACCAGACAAAAAGCACTATGAGAAGGGGAGTGTGGGGGTGGGGTGGGGTGGGGGGCTGGGATTTTCCTTTCATCACCATTAGTTTTAGCTGTTAAAGTTTTTGCAGTGGCTCAGCTGAGTTTGGGAGAGGGTGTTTAGTAGAATATTGCAACCACTGGCACCTCATAGGCCTCAAGATCTGGCCAAAGCTCTGACTCTAGTGAAATAACTCTTTGTTGGAGAAGAATGGGCTCCTTCGGGAAAATCCGTTGATTTTTCTTTTAAGCCAATCAGGTAGAGGCATGAAGTTTAAGAGGGCGGAGAAACCACCGATTCTGGGAATTTGTTTTTAAAATTTCATAAACACCTGGCCAGTGTGGCTCAGTGGTTGAGCACTGACCCATGCACCAAGAGGTCTCCAGTTCGATTCCCAGTCAGGACACATGCCCAGGTTGTGGGCCTGATCCCCAGTGGGGAGCATGCAGGAGGCGGCCAATCGATGTTCTCCCTTATCGATGTTTCCATCTCTCTCCCCTCTCTCTTCCTCTCTCTCTAAAATCAATAAAGAAAAACAATTTAAATAAATAAAATAAAATTTTATAAACTTTGGGGACAGACTGGTTAGGATGTGAGAAGCCCTCCTTACTAAGCCAAATGGAACCTCAGATATTGGGTGGTGATTTTCTGGGGTGCCCTGGAGCCCCATCAGATGGCCTCCCCCTAATTCAGCTTCCTTCATTGTTTCTATCTGCCAGGTGAGAGCCACAGTGACATGAACCTTCATGAAATCTTTCTTATTCCATGTGAACAAAGCAGTTGTCAAACCTGCAGAATAAACTTTAAGGGTTTTAGACAAAAAGATGTTCAGAATTTGATTTGGGATTACGAGTAAACCCACAGACCTCTTTTAAATTCTGGCATTTTTGTAAGTAATTTTTTTTGTAAGTTGTTTTTTTAGGGGGTGAGGGTGCTAAAAGTGATTGTAAAATGCAAGAGGAACATTGTATTTCTCTTTATTCCTCCAAAGATCAGGAAGGGTGTCAACTGACGACAGGCACCAGCTTTCCGTGGATCTGTCCTCGGTTGCGTGGCATTTGTGACTGCCAAAAAGAAAAGTCTTAACTGAGAAGAATCGAGATAAACTTGTTGGATAAACGAGAGAAAGTTTGATACTGTTCACCCTTTGCACATGACAGTTAGACAAACGGAGGGGGGAGGGGTGTGAACTAAATACACATCCTTAAAGCCCTGGGTCTCTTTCCTGAACTGGTCTGAGAATCGCCTGGAGATTTTGGCTAGAAACCCCAAGTCCCAGGGACAGTTGAGGGGGTTGGGGACCGGCAGGAGGACGGGGGATGCTGGGAATGTCTCATTTCTCAGTAGCATGCAGGTACTTCACAAACACTGCCCCAGTGTCCTGGGAGGAGCGGTGGACATTTCCACGAGGTACAGGAAATGTAGGGGTACAGGGGAGCCTGAGCTTCTGCGTCCGAGCTCACTCATGCGCGACCATGTGGTGCCCATGGAAAGCAGCCTCCGTCGGGTCTTGTTGAAGTTCTGCCTGTCCCGGCAGCTGGAAGGTGTCGGAGCCCTGCTGGTGATCCAGACGGGCCAGCATCCTTTCGCCTCACCACACCTGCCTCCACGGAGGGCCGTGGTTTTCTCTATTGCTGAAGTGGAATTTATTCTTTTGGAGTTACTTAATTCCTCATTAAATTAATCAAAACTCCATTCTAACCCTTCTCATTAAAAAATAAAATAAAATAAAGGAAAAGCCACGATCAGGTAAGACTATCCATTTTCAAAGGCTGCAGCTGGAATAAATTCATTTTTAAATACACAGTGCTCTCAAATGCTTCATTTTCCCCCCAAGTATTCAGTTTATACCTAGACCTGAAATAAAGTTGGCAACACTTTTTTTCTCCCCAATTTCCTCTTTTTTTTTTTTCAGATATTTCGGGATATGAACTCACCCTTTTGCCTGCTATTTACCACAAAATTTCTAGTATGAATTCTGCCTCTCAGTGGACAAAGTCCCTAAAAAGACCAAAGAATTCAATGACTACTGAAGTCCTGTGATTTGCAGTCCTGGGTATTTGTGAAGTCAATGAAACACTGTTTCTCCCTGCCTTTAGGAATGGCATGAGGGGATTTCACAGCCCTTCCTTACGGGTGATTCAGAGAGCTGCACCCTCTGAGCAGCTTATACTGAAATTGGTCTTTTTTTTTTTTAACCTCATTCACTTCCAAAGAGCAATAGCATCAGCAAGAAGGCACAACTATTAGAGACAGTGTTTTGTTTTGTTTGCTTTTGTTGCTTTTTTTTTTATCCTTACCTGAGGACATTTTTTGTTCAGATAGAGTGGGAGCGGGAGAGAGAGAGAGAGAGAGAAACATCGACGTGAAAGGGACACATCGAGTGGCTGCCACCCATATGACCAACCAGGGCCGGGGACAAACTGCAACCGAGTACGCGCCCTTGGCAGGAACTGAACCCGGGTCTCTCTGGACACAGGCCGATGCTCTAACTGCTGAGCCAAACTGGTCAGGGCATTAGAGACAGTGTTTTACTTCCTAGGAATAAAACTAATTCAAACGAAGGCTAACTTAGCCAAACTTTCAATCAGGTCACAGACACCGAAAAGTGCAAAACAACTCCTCCTCAAAAGAGTGGAGAACAACTTTGCATGTTTACAGTCCCCTGAGTTAAACTAATATTCAACCAGCTTTAATAAGGCACGTCATGTCATTAGAGAACATTTCCCTGAAGCAAATTCTCAGAGGACATTAATAAGCTAGGACTCCTAGTTATTTCCAGTGGGAAGTCATACGTTGCTATATATAAAAGTTAATGTCATCACAGATGAGTTGCCTATTAGAACACATGTTTTCTCTGGGAACCCTTGGGAATAGCGCTAATGATTGAATTATTTATTGTTTGCACAAGGCAGAGAAAAAATTCACTCTATGAGCAAGACCCTTCTGTCTCGAAGAAACAAAACACTTAGCCAGAAATGTTTCCCCAAGAACCAAGAAGCAGGACTGAGAAAGTCTGCCAAAATTTATTGGGGGGGGGGCAGTTATTTGCTTTTCTTATTGTTTGGCATCTTCATTTATTTATTGGTGGGTTCATTCTGAAAAATCTCACCAGTCAGGAAAGGAATGATGAGCCGTGGCTATGGTCATCGTAAGATACGGGTCCCTCCCTCTTTCACTGCTCCTGTCAACCCCCCACCAAGCCACCCCCCCCCACCCAGATGGGGGCATTTTGAGTTCACATTAATGCTGATTTTTACAAATTCAACCTCAATCTCTGGAAAAAAACAAACATGGGAATTTTTTGAAATCTGCCCAGGTGACACCTGTAGGCAGCCAGGGTCAGAGTCACCTGGCAGACTAGCGAAAGGCTGGGGACTGGACCTCGGGAGCCCTGGGTCTTGTTTGAGCTTCACCCATGGCACTTTCATTCCCCAGTTCAGATTCCTTATTTTTTATTTATTTATTTATTTATTTAATCCTCAGCCAAGGATATTTTTACATTTATCTTCAGACAGAGTTGGAGGAAAAGAGAGAGAGAGAGAAACATGACTGTGATAGAGACACATCGAGTGGTCGCCACCTGCACAACCACAACTGGGGCCAGGGATGAACCACAACTGAGGCACGTGCCCTTGGCCGGGATAGAACCCGGGGCTCTTTGGTCCTCAGGCCAAAGCTCTAACCACTGAGCCAAACCAGCCAGAGCTAGATTCCTTACTTTTAAGAAGATTGTTATCCAACACATTAACCACCATGCAAAATATTAGAAAATGCCCACCAATATCCAGGAAAAAGTCCTTAAAAATTCAACCTTAGACAAATAACCGATCACTATTTTTATACCTCAGAAGAGAAATGGCATCTATGGAAACAATCATGTACACGTTCACTGCAGACTCCCACAAGGGATCAGTGCCTCAGAACGAAGAGAACTAAATCACACTCGCGCGTCAGCACCTCCCACCCTGCAGAAGGCTTACAGAAAGGCCTACATAAAACATTGCCATTTTAACAAAACAGAAAATTCTCTGTCTTTAAATGCCGTATGCAGAACCCTGAATGACTTTTTGTCTCCCAAACAGGGCAGCTATTCTGCCACAGTGCACTGCACACCTGGTCACTGGAAGGGTCACCTTGATTGTGATTGACCCAGGTAAATGGCTAGACTCCATTTCTCTCTTGAACGTGCCCTGCACCTAATCCCGTTCCATGGCACTAACCAGACTGCAGGCTCCTTGCGTTGCCCTTGTCCTCCAGGGGCAGCCAGTTTTCTCCAGCCATGTTTTGATGAGGCTTCTCGAGTGGGTCAGAGGTGGGTGGTCGCCGGCAGAGAGAACTCGGAGTACTTCTGTCATTTGGCCAGGACTCCAAGTGCCGCCGCCGTCCTGGGCGGAGGGTTTTTCTGTCTCAGTAGAGGGGACAAGGATGAGAAGGAGGAACAATGGCAGCCAAGATCCCGAAAGCCTTGTCCAGAAGGACATGTCCACGCGTCCTTCACCTGGAGTCTGTCTTTGATGCAGTAGGTGGGTTCGCATTCACGGTGCGAACTTGTAACCAGAGGAATTTCTGTGGCGATGGGGAAAAATGAAGGCTTTCATTATTATGCCTGCAACATGGTTGAAAGGATTCATTAATTGGGTGGCTAAGCTGATTTGCAATGGCAAGCTGTTTCTGAACAACAGGAGGTAGGTCATTTATAACCCCACACGGCAGGAAACTATCGTGGTTGTAGACTTTCGAACTATAGCAGAGCCAAGAATGTTGTTATATTGCCTCTCTCTGAACTAAACCTAGAGTCAAAAATTGAGAAGAATAAGTTTCTCTTCATCCTGAAGGTGGTACAAGTCACCAGATCCGGGACAAGAAACACCCTCATTTTATCTCCTTGTTAAGTAAAACTCCTAGTGGTTTGTGGTCCTGATCATGAAATATGTAAATAAAATTAAAGAGAAAATAAATGTTTAAAAATGACCAATATCACGTGGAGTGAGAAGGTGTTAGGCAAACAAGGGTACTAGAAGAAAAAGAGTAACAGTCAGAAGACACTGGTCGGTCTTTAGATTTTAGTTTATTAAAAGTTCAAATGACCTTAGAAAAATAAATAAATAACGTCAAGACCTCATGAGCCACGATAAATCCATGTACTCCGTGGTCCTTAAGCGGTGAGAAGACAACTTTAGAGCCAATCAGTTTTCTGGAAAAAAATTAATCTCTTCGAACAGTTGCTTAAGAAATGCAAAACGTTAACAGAATTGCGCGTCAGCTCTTGGCCCAGAGATGAGCTAATAATGACTGAGGGGCAGGAGCAAAAGTACCAGGATTACTTTTATGGTTTTAAAAACATTGGGGGTGGGGAGAGTTATGATTCTTAGGTTAGCATTTTAAAAATGACAGAGGATGAGACAAACATTTCTAAACTCAGCACTTACCTTCAGAAGAAAGACAAATGGCTATTTATCTGGAGCTCTGTGTCCTTTTAAATCTCAGAGAGTATTTTGTGGTTACAAAGTCCTCTGTTTTTAAAATTCCTTGACTGTGTGCTGGGAGCTGGAAAGGATTATTTCAGCCCAGTGAAGATTGCAGTTGCTATGGAGAGAGCTGCTCTGAAGGTAACAATGAAGGTGGATAAAAGTGAGAACTTTCTGTCTGGCAGGTTTTCAGAAAAATCAAATAAAATTAATTCATGAAACTGACTTTTTCCTATCAATATTTACCAACTTTCTTAGAATCATCTATAGTCACTTGCCTTTTAAGGGGAAGCTCTAAGTCAAAGCATTTCACCTTGCAGAATAAAAAGATTTTAGTGTCAGACTACGGTTTTTTTCTTTCCAATTGGTTCTGCAATAACTGTTTCATCCACACTCCAACCAAGGACTTGTTGAAAAGATCAGCTCTTCAGAGCCTTACTTATTTTACAAGGTGCAAAGGTTGAAAAGATTTAATGTGGTTGCAAATTTATAAATAGATGTTTTCAAACAAGAAGAAAAGTATTTGTTGGAGGAATAAAGTTCTTTCCTGAAAGTAAGTGGATGTGTCTGGGGAACTTTAATTAGCCCTGTAAGTTATGATCCCAGGGTCTGCAGTAGAAGTAATTACATAGGGGTCTTCAAGCTCTCAGCAAATTATTAGCGAATAATAAGGAACAACGTGGTAAATCTTATAGGAAGTAAGAGAAGTTAAAATGCAAACTTTCAAAGTGCACAGAGTACACATAAATGGCACATAGTACATAGAAACACAAAGCTCCTGCAGCATGAAGCAGATGCATAGAGACTTCTGAGTTCAGTTTCATAGGGGGTAGGTGGGAAGCAGTGGGGCTACTGATGAAGAGACAGAGAAAATGAGAGGAGAAAGACATTGGGATAATTCGTTTCCTCAGTCACTAACTGGATTTGAAAACTGGGAACAATAGGGTGCGATAATCCTCAAAGAATGTTGGTAACGCTAATAGAAATATGGGTGGCACAAATGTTCCCAGAAGAATGTTCCCTGGCTTCTCTTTAATTCCATATCACAGAGGACTTGGATTCATCTTAACTGTCAAGGGAAGGGACTTGGTCTGTGGTGATGAAACAATTCAGTACCAGTTGCCAACCACATGAGACTGGTGCTGGTGAGAAGGAAAGAGGTTTAGTGAAGTGCCAGCCACCTGAGAAGATGGGAGACGCTCATCCCAAAGCCCATCTTAACATCTCAGTGCTGTCAGGAGTTTTTATCAGGAAGGAGAGGGAAAGCAGGACAAAGAAATCAGGGGGAGGGGGCTGTGGACATGCAAGCAGTGTCCTTGCTGGTCAAGATACAGATCTTTAATGCCAGGTGCAGTCTTGCATTCAAGCCACCCCGGGCCCAGGCAGGATCCAGAACAGCCGGTTTCTGCAGTATGCTCTGAAAAAAGGTTGTTAGCAATATACAGCAGGCATGACTAACCTGGCCTTTGTTTTAAAACATACATCCTATTTTCTGACATGGGGGAAAGTGTTGTTCATTATATGTTATTTAATCAAGAAGGTTATTTTTCTGGTTAGCATAAGATTTAACGTAGGATGTGCAGGATATACAGGCTGCACAGGACGTCTTCCCATAGGCCTTGATGTGGCTATCTGAGCTTTCTGACAGCTGAATTCCTGTTGACTGAGCTGTCGGCATCAGTCAGGCTTGCTAGGTTCACACAGGAATGGAGACTCTTGAACTGTAAAGTATACTAACAAATGTTTAAGCCTTGGCCAGTTTGGCTCAGCAGATAGAGCATCGCCCACAGACCAAAGAGTCACAGGTTCAATTCCAGTCAGGGGCATGTTGCTCGGTTGCAGTTTGTCCCTGGTCATGCGGCAGGCAACCAGTCAATGTGTCTCTCTCACATCGATGTTTCTCTCCCCACCCCCACAGACTCTATCTGAAAATAAATAGAAAAATAGCCTTGGGTGAGCATTTAAAAAATAAACAAAACACTTTTAACATACAAATTCTAGTTTTGAGAGAAAAATCGGGTTAGAGTAATAAGCTGGGTTTAACATTTACTAAGATTAACACGGGTACATTTATATAAATTTTATAACTTACTTTGTTTTTTAAATATATTTTTTATTGAGCTTAGAAAGGGGGAGAGGGGTATAGAGATCCATGAGAGAGAGAAACATCGATTGGCTGCCTCCTGCATACCCCCTCCTGGGGATCAAGCCCCCAACTCAGGCTTACGCTCTGACCAGGAATGGAACCAGCAACCTCTTGGTGCATGGGTTGATGCTCAACCATTGAGCCTCACCAGCCGGGCTGTTATTATATTCTTTTTGAGTTCTATTCTATAGCTAGTAGGACTAACATAAGTAGTATGTCACATTCATCCCCTGTTACAGTGAGATTAACTGGAGTTAGAGTCCAGAATGATCAGTCCAACAGAGAAGCAAGGAGCTGGTCAAGACCTTCCATCTGGAGACAGAGAAGCGAGGCGGGAATTAGGCCCTCACTTTCTGGACCAGCTCCAATGAACAGGACCTAAAATCAGCTACCCCTGCCCAAGTCCCCTTGTAGATCCTGCCTAGTTGCCACAGAACTGCATCCTGATGTACTCTGACCAGTTCTCACAAGACAGTGCCCCTGCGATGACTCAGACCTATTCCTTGATTGCCCTGTGCTGATGTCCAACCTGGAAGACCCATACTTCCTGGTGTCAGGTTTCCTGTGGCTACAGATTCCCTTGTGACGGGGGGCCCGAGGAGTGATCTCCCCCTCAAACACCGTTCACTACTCTCAGGGGCTCCCAACACCTCTACCTTTCTAGTCATAGCCCCAAGACTCCCAAAGTGAGCTTCCTCTCCTTGTCACAATAGGCTGGTTCTGTTTGCCCCAAGGTTTGCTGCACCCTCACAGCAATTCAGCCACCACCCAGGTTCCTATTCCTGTTCCAGGGTGAGAGGGCAATGTGGAGGGGCAGGGAGAGGTCCCGGATGTAGGCTCTCAAGCGCCCAACTGCCTGCTTCAGCAAGCCTGAAATCAGCCTTTCATTTGTTTATATTTATCTTCAGACAGAGCCAGGAGGGAGAGAGTGATGAAGAGAGAGAAACATCGATGTGAGAGAGACACATCAATGGGTTGCCACCCACACGACCCCAACCGGGACCAGGGACAAACTGCAACCGAGATACTTGCCCTCAGTGGGAACCGAACCCAGGACTCTCTGGTCCGCAGGCTGATGCTCTAAGCACTGAAATCAGCCTTTCTTAAACATGGTTACATTTACGATACAAACCCACTTCTGGGGGTAATGAGTTTCACGTGTTAACTCACCAACTGTGTAAAGGGCGAGCTAATTGACTCCTGATTGATTCTCAGGTGGCAGGTGTCCCCAGGTGGGAGCAGTCTCCCGGGAGGCGGCTTCTCCAGTCTGTAGACAGCCCCGTCTATCCCAGGAAGATACAGTGGCCGGGAGGCAGGAGGGAAGAGAGGAGGGGTCACTGACCAATCTGTCCTTCATTCGGTTTGACTCTTTGCCTGTTAGTGTGGTCTGAGTTTCAAACGTCTTCCTCATGTCCGTAGAGTCATGAATTTACACATGCACCCTGCTGTGACCGAGACAGAATTTAAAGGGGCCCAACAGGAAACATGAACTACAAGACGGCAGCAACTTGGGAAGAGATTGAAGCAAGGGTGGAGCCATCTCGTGTGTATCGTTCAGGGCTGCCTGCCCTGGACAGTTTTGCAGTTTGGATTGTCATTCATTTCTATAATCACTACAGATGTATGCATTGATTTTCATTACAGTGTATTAAATTATGGTATTTCCTGCTTTCCCAGCAAATGTCCTGAAGAGAGGAGGCTCTCGGCTGGTGGCAGGGCTGTGTGGGCTCTGCGTCCCCCACCCCCTAGGAACATCTCTGGCAGCAACGTGCGGTCCTGCAACTCCGAGCTGCCTCTGGGCCAAGCTTCTCCCCGCGTGCCCGACTTCTTCCCCCTTTTCCAAGACACTGACCTCTCTAAATAATTCAATTTTTTTCTTTATTGATTTTAGAGAGAGAGGACGTGAGAGGGAGAGACAGAAACATAGATGAGAGAGAACATCGATGGGCCGCCTCCTGTATGCCCCCCACCAGGGATCGGGCCCACAACCCGGGCATGTGCCCTGACCGGGAATCGAACCGGCGACCTCTTGGTGCATGGGTCGACGCTCAACCACTGAGCCACACCGGCCAGACTCTAAATAATTATTATAAAATGTTCATCAACATTTTGAGTGTTGTTAATGCCTAGGCACTCGGCTGAGCAACTTCACGTACACTTTCTCATGTAATATCCGTTGAACCTAATGAACTTCTCACTGTGCATTTCAGAAATACCCAGTGCCACACAGCTCACAGGTGCCACCGGAAATCCAAGCCTGTGAATGTCAAAGTTGGTGCTTATGCTACCAAGCAACTGTGTGCTGCGCTGCCATCCCGGGCTTTATGAGAGCCCAAGCCTCATTTTGCAGTGCAGCTTGGGGGCGAGACACGGAGGCTCGGCCAGGAGCCCATCCGCAGGGCAAGGAGCTGCTACAGTTTTTCCTTTGCTTTCTCCCCACAGCCTCTTCAGCCCAAAAATTCTCAGAGAAAAGAAAATTTAAGAAAAATGTAGAACTTAAAAGAAAAAAAAATAGAACCTCAGGCTCTTCTCCTCTGGATCCTTATCAACAGGCCACCCACCAGACGTTGGAAACAAATGCTCCTCCTCCAACCTGTTTTCTTAGAGAAGCGACACGGCGCTGAAAGGGCGCCTGCTGCAGGCGAAGGACGGGCCCGCACGACTTCCGGTTCGGCGACTGCCGCTGGCTTCCCAGCAGTTAGGAAAGGGCAATTGTTTGAAGTTAGACCTTTAGGTTGTCTGATTTGGAAGCTGAGAGTAAGAACGATTTTTGGAAAACATTTATGTGCAACTTTCAAACAATATTTTTCTTCTCCTTTTAAACGTCATATAGGACCACTAACTTAAAAAAAAAAAAAAACTGCAGAA